TCGGCAGATTTCAATTTAAAGTTACATTTGAAAAAGCTCATTTCTGCAAAATATCAAACGTGAAATCGAAAAGCAATCAGCGTTAAAATCTCATTGTTACAATCATTTCCTTTCATTGTCCTAACAGTTGAACTTACATCTGAAAATTGACAGTGACGACGAGTAACGGAACAAGAAAACGGATAAAAGGAAAAAATATTCAAAAAAAGAGAGAGGAAACGAGGAAGCAGATGAGAAATCTATAAAACAATTACGCACTGTCACAGATGAAATTTTGTCTTTGACGTACGTACATAGAACACCCGAGTGTTGCTTAGTATTCCACGGGTGCGTGCCACGTCCGCGGAAATAATGTGTTATCTCCGTTGGGGATTTCCCGTGGATGACGTGTTTTCAGGGATATCTGTCTGTTGGTCTGTCTAATCGTCCCCCAGGATTGAAAGGACATTCGTGAGAAAAAAAAAAGAAGCAGTATATTCCTGCTTTGGGTAAAAGCGCGACGTACATGATTGCTTGATTGATCGAAGCCGATTTACGTTCGAATGGGTAAAGTGGACAAAAAGAGGGTAAAATGTCAGTTGTCAATGTTGGCGTCATTTAGTGGAAATTGAAGAAGAACATAAAACTTTATGTTCTTCTTCAATTCCAACTGGACAGTCTAGAGTAAGGACACCGTTCCAATTAGTCATTTTATACAATAACAAGAAAAATCGAAAAGAGAAAGAAAAGGAAACGAAAGAAAAGTGAGGGAATACAGTTGTACAAGAGCCTGGTAAAGAAAAAATAATACTACTTGAAGAAGTTAACCATGAAACTCTTTTATAAGCTTGAAGAGTGTACTCGAGCTCGGCTTTCTTTTCAGCTGTGCATAACCACGACTCAAGGAGGAATTAAAACAATAAGCCCTTGTTCGATCCACGAGAGTCGACTATCATCTTTGCAATGGATGGCATAAAAGAGTTTGGAGAACGAATCTTTTGAGGCATACAAGTTAATAGATCGCGAGCATTGCGCCAAGTGGGAAGTATTGATTAGACCACTGAGGAATGAGAGACAACAAAAAAGAAAGCGAAAAACCGAGGAGGTCGGTTTTGGTGAACCGGAATCGGGAAGAAGTTTCGCTGATAAGGATTTTCTTCGTGGACTTTTCCGTTCTGATTAAATCTTTTGAAAGAAAGTCGCGTGAGAAGACGGGATTGTTTAATCTGCACTTAAGCATCTTATACCATACAGTCGAGGTGATTCAATTTCTCGAAAGCAAAGTTTATACTTTCCCGTTGAAACAGAGTGCTCCCGAGTTTATTTTAATCAACGAGTCTTTGCTTCCTTTGATTTGTCCGTATCAGGTGTTCAAATTAAGTTGAAGAACGATTAATGCGCGTTAAATTAAAATCCATGCGAATGGCTTTTCTTAGGGAGTTTTCAAAGTATGCAAAGAAATAGCACTTACATACTGAAAAAAAATCACTATTATTTATGAGAGAATAAAAAACGAAAATGCTAACATTGCTGCAAAGAAACAAAATATCTGCTTCAAAAACAATGTTTATACGCGAGCACGATGATCCCCTTGTTTAGTTGTTGCACGTATTGCTTTTTGTGATATCGCAAGTATCAACTTTCATAATAAGGGGAGCAAAGAAAAAAGTCTAACAATAGTGGCGATCGTTACATGACTCTGAATATTCATCTCACAGTTCTTGTTTTGCTTATTCAAAAGTTTGTGAAAAAGCTTAGGCAACAAGTGAATAATAATGACGATTTTTTCTAAAAACTTTATTCAATGTTAGCAAAGTAAGAGTGACGTCGATTGTAAGCCAAAAATCAGCAATGTGTGTGGATGCATCAAATTACTGGATACACTGAAGACAATATAAATAACTAGTGATGAATACTCTAAGTGGTACACAATAAGTTTCACATGTTACCCGTAAGACCATAAATGGAAAATTAATAATACCAAGGATCTATGAATGACTGTATATGAATATGACTAAGAGTACCGTTTGCAGTATTAGGAACTATTTATGCAAAAAAAAAAAATCACCAAAAGTCTCGCAACACATGAGACATGAAGCGAAGTCGTACCGAAAACGAGGGAGAAGCTATGAAAGCAACTGCACCAAAGCTCACTCATACATTCACGTAGTGGCGACCCTACAGCTACTAAAAGAAATTCCGTTGAAATCCTTTCTGTCGTCGAAGTGAATTAATTTTTAAGTTTTCCCATTTTACTTTTCGAGAGCTTGCATGTTTGCGTTAAACGAAGTCACTCGCACACGAGTCACCGTCCAAAGGCGTTGAGGTGTGGTGGTCGAGGAAAAGTTAATTGAATTGAAAATTTTCGAATGATTCCCGATAAAAGCCGCTAGGATTTGCGGTGTACCTTTATAAAGAGCCCCCACGGGTGAGAGAGGCAGAGCTTGAAAGAGTCGTCATGACCAAAGTGAAAGTTTCCATTGCACTTCCTCAGAGTCGTGATTACGTGTAGGTGTATACACGTATACGTACAGATGTACCCAGAGGGAGAATCAAGGTGTCCCATCGCCACTTCAAAGGAGAGAAGGAAAACCAGAGCGCTCCAACTTTAATACCTGTCTGATAAAGCTCGTTGGCCTGTCATATCCTTCTACCTCTCAGAGACACCAGGGAGATTAAACTTTGACGTCGCGCCACTCGAAAAATCAGCTGCGTTTGTAACCTTTGATGGCTACTTTTAGTCGACTTCGTTCCAAAACAACTCTGTACTGGCTCATCATACCTTTAATTTCAAGATGCTTTGCGAACGTGGTTGTTTCATTTATAATTTTTCATTTCATCAATTTCTGTATTGTCGTGAAAATTAGTGTAGACACGAGTCTCAAGTTTATCTCGCGTTCTTTATCCACTCGGGTTCTTCTACAACGTCGTACAAGCAACTATTAGTAACTCGAAGAATATAATAAAGAACTTTAGTGGAGCGGAAGAAGAGGAAAAGTCGCAGGACAAGAAAAAAGAAGAGAGGAAAAGAAAAAACGTGAGTTAAGACTCAAGTGGTGGGGAAAAAAAATTAAGACATCTGTGTGAGTCGGAAGCAGGCGGTTGAAAGAAGGTCGGTTGAGGGGAAGGTGGGCGAAAAAGGTAGAGAAGATGGTGGACTTACACAGCAGAGCTGAGGGAGATAGAAATAGAGAAGAGAGCGTGTGGGAGGAGAGATTCATTGCGCTCGCGCAGCTGCATTAGACGGGCGATAATTGGTCTTGGCCGGCAACTCGAGTGGGGAAAAAAAAGAAATACGTGCACCCTACTATTGCGATCTTTTGTGCATTGCATTTTTATTGGACCAAAATAGCTGCTGCTGCTGCTGCTGCTGCTGTGGTAGTTTTAATGCATAAGGAAGGACGACTCGTGGGCTCGTATGGATTTTTCACGACGTCGTAACAACTCAAATTCTACGTACGTACGGGATCCAGGTCGTAAAGTATTACCTTGCTTGCATTTTAGTACATTTTTTGTGTATTTAGTAGCTAGTATCAACCGAGTACAATAAATTTGGTATTTTGTAGAAATAGATATTCGCTGGAAAGTGTTTGCCCCTTTATTATTATTTTTAACACAGATAGAAATACATTAAGAGTCATAATTCCATTTTTCCATTACTTATGTCAAATAATTTCAAAGAGCAGTGTTATAGACTTTGTACATTTCTAGAAGCACAATTGATTTTCTTGCTGTAGTAATAGAAACGGCAGTGACAACAATAATAACCATGCCGTAAACGTAATGGATAAAATGACGGAAAAACAAAGCCAAGATCCCCTTTATTTTAGGCAAGCCATCAAAATACTTTAGACATTTTATCAGTGTCGTGGCAGTGACCTAATAATGTAACTTTCCTCGTATATGCAAACATGTCAACAGCACGACCACGCAATCTGTTCACCATCCAACTGGAACCTGTATTGGAAGTTCAATTATTTTGCCAGGGTCTTGCACGCTGAACCTCACCACGCTACCTTTTTCCAGAAAATAAGAACAAAATTACATGTTCGATGAGCTGTCAACTCATCGATTGTCAAAATAGTTTCTTCACTACAATATTCGTGTCACTAATAATAATTCCTAATGATGTAACTTGTCATAAAAAAAACCGTACGTGCTTTTACTTACTCCTCCATTAAAAGTTTCTTTGCTTCCTAAATTATTCTCGCAAAAGTTATGAGCAAAATTAGTTGCTAAGAAACTTTTCTGAATTCAATTAGATCTTTATACTGTTATTGTAATACGTGTACAATACTGTCGGTAAAGTTTTAGTATTAATCCTTCTGGGAGCACTAAACATTCATCATAATGGAAACTCATAAATATGTCGGTTGCAAATAGCCTTAATAGGATCAGATCCATATTTATGACGTTATTCGTACTACAAGCGCAATTAAAAACTTTTCATTACTTATGGACGAGGTGGTTATGTAAAAACGAAAAACAAGAAAGAAATACGAGTGAGCGCTAATTTTGGCTCATTAGAGAACTTTTGCTTCACGCAAGTGTCTAAAAAGTGATTTTCTTAAAATTTCAAGTGTTTTCTCTTAAATTTACTGTCTTTACGTAGATAACATTTCACATAATGTAATATAGTTCTTAAGATTTATGTTTTTTTATGATCTGACTTTATACGGTGAAACGAATTAGCAAAGTCTATAGTTGTGTTGGATTTTAACTTGAGTGCTAAGAACAATTATTAATTTTCGCACCGAAAACTGACATTCAATGAAATATACCTTTATGAACATGTATACTAAAGCTTATGGATACCAATTGTGTTATTTTTGTAGTACAAAAAATTAAAATAAATCTAGTAATAATTAAAACCATATTATCACCACAAGAGTAAGAAAATCAGATAGAGCTTGAGTTTTGAGATCGGATCAATTTTTATCATTGAATTATGAAAAATTTAGTCTTAACAACTGCCTATGTTTTTTTCCATTAAAAATCAAAGGGATGTTAGCAAAACTTACCAATAACTGTTAGGTGAAGGAGGTGTCCAATCGGTGGTGAAGTTGATATTTGACACTCGTAGGTACCACTATCCCTGCTTTGAGCGAATCTTACTCTCAAGGTCCATTCGTCACTGTGTGGTGCGTGCAGTGCCTCGAATCTTTGGTCACTAGTGTAGGTGTAACGGCCCGCCGTTAATAGATGGGTGTCACGATGTCTTATCCAAGACACCTGAAAAAATGAAGTGTAATGATTTTAAAAATTTCTCTGTATTGAATTTAAAATAAAAGGTTTTTTAAAANTTTAATGCATACTAAACTGTGCTTATCCTTTTGTTTGCTTCATTACAGCACATTACTCTGCGAAATCCATTGAATCCCTTAACTTCCAGAACCATACAACTTCTAAGACTATACAGCTTAAATACCCCCATATTTCCATTAATGTTGCTACTAAGACTCTGAACTCAAGAGTTAAAAACTGCATACCCTTTAAACCAATGATCCAGTATACTCAGTAAATTAGTGTTATAATTATTCATTTTGAACAAAAAAAAACCACTTTCAACAAGATTGGGCTATTAAAAAAATTTTTACTGAACTTGTGAAAAAATTCAAGACATAAAACTACCATCAATCATCTTCAAAAACTCTTTACAACGCTATTCATCGAACGCTCAAAGAAAGTAAAAAAAAGCACCAGACCATGATCCCCTTGAACAATATCAAAAGGAACGTCATTAGAGTGACATCTATTGCACACTTCTACGCAGGTATTCGTGTAAGCCTCGAGCTTTTATAAAAACAGCTCAATATGACTTTACCTACAGAAAAAAAAGTAGACGCGTGCCCCATTTACTCTTCACTAAAGTCTCATGCTGGGGGAGGAAGGATACGTCATCAGGCTCACGCCCCGTTGCCCTCACGATTGAGCGATAAAACTTAACTGAGCACCTACCTATCGCAACTTCATTGACCGTAACACTTTTTTTTCTCTCCACTTCTAGTCCCTCACTAATGTTAATCTCTGCACGTATCGTATATGCTTTAGGGACATAGCTATTGCAATCGAATTACATCATCCTTTGAATTTACCCTCAAGGGAACGTCCAATTCATTGCGTAACACTTTTCCTTCGTTATTAGATTTCTCGTTCTGTTTATACAGTCTTCCCTTCATTTTACTAGTCGTGCACCGAGATTCAATTTAAACTCACTGAATCAAGATTCCAATTTAAAATGCCTGGAAAAAACTGTTAATTCTTAGATCCCATCACAGACTTTAGTTACTTTCATCCATTTACTTTTAAAATGCTCCAGCATACAATTTTGAAAACTTAAAGGTGAAATATTTAAAGCATTGTTTAATAAAACACTTATTCATTTTTAATTTAATAATTTAAGAATATATCTAAGTGCTGGATTAATGTAAATTAAAATTATTCAGTATTTCAAAAGGTATTTGTAAAGAGCTCTCACACCAATTTCTAAACTTTGATAAACTACATTTTTTTTTTTTTTTTTCAAACGAAATTTAACGATTAACCTTTCCACGACAGATAATTTTAATCTTTGTTGAAACTGTAAATTTATATGTATTATTTATTTTTTCCTTAACCCATTCTTAATCGCATATAAAGATAGTTTTTACTTTAATCAAAAGTATCAAAGAAGGTACGAAATTTTCAGCCAAACTAATATAAGTATCGAGAAATATGTGTACCAAATTCCGGATCAGTTTAACTCGTAGTTATTAAAATATCCAAAAAACTGAAAAAAACTATTGTCAGCTGATTACAGGCTGTATGTTTAATAGATAAATGTACTTGTATCTTTACATATGCAAATGTATACAGATAAACATTAACTATCACTAATTTGTTGAGTATAGAACGATAGGTACATAAAATCTATCTGCTACACCCAACGTAACCTTAGTATTGTACATGTGTGTACTTGGTTGACATATATATTTGGAAACATTTACCTTCATACTAAATGTCCAAAAATCATATAAGAAATAAATAAAAGTTAATCACTTGTCACTCTTCCATAGTTCAAACGGAAAAGAGTATTTTTCAAACCTGTGATAAAAACTAGATAAAGATTCCTGAGCAAAGGGGGGTACATGACGCACCTATCAAAAGACACAGCCAGAAAATACCATCCGCGTCATCTCCCAAATTGGCATCAAGACACCAACGCAAGGACCCCCCGTATTCTAGTGCATGCACGCGGGCGTTTTAATCGGCCGCACCCCGATCGTTTTAGCTGCTTCATTATATTCACCTTTGGTGACCGTAAAATCAAGCCCAGGGACGTGGATAATCGAAATCCCGTTAAGCGATCTCATCCACGCGAGAGCTAATGCTGCGAAAACGATTCCGAAGCGGAGCGAGTGAGGGAAGGCCGCTCGTAAACGCGGTATGGTAATCAGAGCAGAGACTGAGCAGTTTGAGGGCATCTGGGAAAGAAGTTCGTATACTCTACAGGGAGAGCTGGTAAAGCCTATATGGAGAGTTAACGAGGGAGGAACCGCAACTTACCAAAATTGCGGGAAAGTCCTTCAAGGGAGTGATTAATGATAATCAGACCAAATCTCGGTTTATTTCGTGGATTTTTAGCCAAAGATCTAGAGTGCATTTTTTTTGTTTCTCCAAAGTAAAATTCTACTTATAAGGGTATTAATAAAATGCATTGAAATACTTGGACTTTAATTTTAATTTGACCATATTTAAAGAATCTCTTAAAGGTTTTTTTTTACTTTTTAACGATAATTTAATTTAGAACTGAAATTTCCTCATTAAACCGGTGAATTTACGGGCTGTCATTATTATGCATAACATTTGCGAAACGTTACATGACCTAAATGTACTGATGGCACTGATTGGTGCACAAAAAATTTTAATTCCTACATGACTTTTGCAAATTTAATTGGATTCGCTTTTATTTAATGAGCAAACATTAAATTATGTATCGTCATTGAAGATTTTATTGATTAGTAAAAAACGCAATTTTTAAAAGTTTAGTAAGTTAATGTTTTAAACTCTAACTATAACTCCGAACCTCGGAGTCTAATAAAATCATGCTGTGGGACCAGATCGCTGTGTTGTACGTGAATTACACTTGTAGACAATGGGGGGAAAACCATCTCTTGCAATAATTTTGCATACTGATGTGCTCCAAGATTAAATTTGCGCTCGTGACTGAACAAGAAGCTCCTAAAATCTCGTGGCTGCGTATACGTCTCGAACTCCCTTTCAACTAAATCTTTTTAGAGTCATAAATTTTGTACTCTTTATTATTTAAGAAATCGATTCTGTAAACAGAAATCGTTTCTCTCTTTGATAGTAAAAGATAGTGATACAAACGTAGTAAGTACTCACGGTTTGATTGCCGAGATTCCGTACTATACAGTGCAAATGGGCAGTTTTGCCGACGAGAGCCGTGTAGTTTGACTGCACAGTTGTGTCGAAGTATGGTCCTGGTTCTGGTGTTGGCCATTCCTGCAGGTAATCTGTCCTAAAACTGCGAAAGGTTTGTGCCGTTCCCTCTGAAATCGAAAGAGTGAAAAATTATTCAACTTTTGATCTGAAACAGTACAGAGTGTTACATTTAACACTTTAAAATTAGAAAGGGTACAGCATTGTTACAAGAATAAGATTAAATCCATTCCATGGTTATACATTGTACAATAAAAATATTACTCATAATTTGTATAAAATATTTTTGTAATCTCTGAATCTAAAAGCAAAGTTTTAACGTAAATTTGCGAAATTATTTGACATGGTTAATAAGATAATTAATTAATGAGACAATCATTATTGAAAATGAGTTTAATAGCTTTTCTGGAAGCACTAAAGATAGACATGATAAAGAAATATATCCTCCTATTTATACGGATTATTTATGCAGAAAATAGTACTCGCTTATCCTAAAAATGGGTGGATAAGGTATGAACGCATCATTTTAAAATTTAAATTCAGAGATGGAATATTTTTAATGCATACTAAACTGTGCTTATCCTTTTGTTTGCTTCATTACAGCACATTACTCTGCGAAATCCATTGAATCCCTTAACTTCCAGAACCATACAACTTCTAAGACTATACAGCTTAAATACCCCCATATTTCCATTAATGTTGCTACTAAGACTCTGAACTCAAGAGTTAAAAACTGCATACCCTTTAAACCAATGATCCAGTATACTCAGTAAATTAGTGTTATAATTATTCATTTCTATTATTGAATTTATCCTTTTTTTTTTTTATATATCATGGATTAAACAACTTGCAATAGTAATAAAAATAATGTTTCTGTATTTTTTTTCAGAAATATGGACAGTAACATGTGAGTAATTAATTACGATACATATTTGTTATAATATAATCATTTGATCTAATGTCCTGACTAATTTATCTTTGGGATCCCGAAAAAAGGTTTTTTTTTTCCTCACGAAGCATCATAATAAATTTTAGCTTGATTGATGTCTTGGGGTATCAGCTTCGTGCGTCTTCTCATTATTTCACGTAAAGATAACTGCATTACTCATCATAAATTGAGTCTCATCAAAATAAAATAGTGGCTGATGTACAGAATATTCTAGAAAGAACAGAGAAAAACCTTATTTTTAGTCATTAATACTGCTTAAAGGTATACTCGTAATTCATTCAAAAAATTTAATGAATTTGTGAGTAACGTTATAAAACAACTCTAGACTGTAGATCTTTTGTGAGCATTATTAGTTAAAATAATACAAGAGTTATAGGAAAACATAGATAAACAAAGTTTTTTCAACTACATATCTACTTTTACATACAAGAATAAACAAAAAAAAAATCATACAATGTAGTTTTGAAGATATTCACACAAACGTAAGGAAAGTCATGAGACCTCCTGTAATTTACGTACGTAGGAAGCAAGGACGCAACGTCTCCTGGAATAGCTCATCTGTTCACGCAGCACGATGCTTTTCACGAGAGATGCCATTGTGTTTAGAATTATAATCTGAAGTTTGGGCGATGAAGTTTGTGCGATACAATCAATACACGATGTCTCAAATATGAAGGCCCATACAATTTTTACGTAAATATATTCTTTTGTAAATAGGGGACGAAAGTGAGCTATTAAGTTTCCAACGATATTTTATTCAACCCAACCCAAGCACTTTGCTTGATATAGTTTGACAATGTCAATTATAATAACGTCGGATACGTCGCTTCTCAATAAATGATAAGCAGTTACAGCTCAATCGAACGTAAATAACAAAAAAAAAAAAAAAAAAAAAAGAAAAGAAAAAAAAAGTAGAGAAAAAAGTAAAAAATATGACGTGCGTATACACATCATTGTTTTCCGTTTCTGTGCAAAGTCATATGATGTCAAACAAGAAAAAGGCGTGAAATATATAACGGATACGACTTTGCGAAAAGTCAGACGGACGGAGGATAGAAAGGTAGCTAAGTCGTGAAAGATAAATTGACGAGCTCATGTATCGTGAAAGCTCCTTCTTTCCCTTCTTTTGCGCGCATGTACGTATACACGAAAATATACGTGTGCATGCCACACCACCTTCACTGCCTCTCCTCCGCAACCCATGAACAAATCTGCATTGCGGCAAATACATGTGCAATATCTGCTTTCGATGCACCCTTACTCATATACATGTATATAAATATGCCAGTATATTATATAGGTATGTGTATACGCGTACCGAGGCTCTTCTCGTATATACACACTTTACGGTGCTGATAAACACCTGCAACATACCTCGTCGCAGGAGTTTCGAATAAACGTTAACGATGCAGATTAAAATAATTTTCTTTAACCCTTAACAACTGGGATCACTTGACTTGTTAAAAAATGTATGATCAGAAGATGGATGGTCTTGATTACATTCCTGCACATTAAAAAGAGCCAGAGCAAAAAAAAGGGGAAAGCGTGATCGTAGACCGAGCATGAGGAAATTCATCCTCTTGGGGATGTAACGGAGCTTAAATTTCGTTGATAGAATCGTATCTTCTTGGCTGAGCGGTTAAAAGGAGGAGCACGGGACGCATTTGCATGTGAGACGCTCGCCCGGATGCGTTTGCATACACGCGCGCATAAGCGCGATTTCGTAACGTAAAACCTGCCCCCAGTGTAGTTGTACAGGGAGGAAATTCAAATTCTCATCTACATGAGAATGGCTTGGGCTGTCAATGCTTTACTCGTTACGTACTTGTGCTCTCCGCGGAAAACCCGTACAGTTAGTATGGTGTGTTATTTCCTAGACCTTCTTACACGTTATTGAAATCAGTTGTACTCTCGCAGGTATTGTTGTTGGAGAGAGTTACGGGTCGAAGTATTTTCAGCTACATTAGAAAAATTTACGAGGGAGTTAGTACAATGAAGGGTGGAAGGGAGGGTGAAGAAAGTGATTGTCTTTCATTTCAAATTATCGTCAAAGACGCCAATTTCATACGCATACCAAAAAACCGTGTCTACAACCTATTAGGCTCATTCCACCGTCTTTGCCTTCATTAAAACTGTTTTGTCTTTTTAAATCCACTGCATACTAATCTTAGCGGAGATTTATCTAAATTCCAACAAATGTGCTGAAAGAGTCTTAGTGGTAACCACATGGTTGCGTTTGTTTTCAGCAGAGAAAAAACTCCACACACATTATTTATAATGGCCAATTTATCATACAATATTTAATTGGTGGCACCTTTTGACACCCTTGTGGTCTTAACTAGTTTTAAAGTTATTTTGGAAATACTTCAAATCTCCAAGAAGAATTAATATTCTCACGATAAATGCAATCATACACTGTCTAATGTTAAATATTTTCCGCAAATGCCCAAGTTAGAGTCATGGAATGAGTTTTTGGAAGAACTCTTTCACCAATAAATTACTGTAAAGGGATAACATTCTTGACTTAGAGCCCGATTCATTGTACGAACCAACGTCGATCATATCGTCATAGTGGTACGGCGTATCAGAAGAATCGAGCACTCAACGGCACCAGGTTTAATGCCAACTTTTCCTGGACCGCAGACAACGGGGGTGGAAATTATCTAGAAGCAGAATAGATGAGCGTTAAATGTTGCTCGAGTCACGGGTAGAAGATCTTTGATGCACCAGCGTCCATTGTACTCTGCTCTTGTATTATCTTTCTCCTCTAGTGTTTCCTTAACAAAGAAGCCGTCGTATCGTACTTATGGGCGAGAGCGAGGAAAAAGAAGATAATCATGACACCAGTGGACGCAGCAAGGGGGCAAGGGGGAGGATAATATCCATCTCCTTCACTCAAACCTCCACGCAGGCCAAACAGAAAAGCGAGAGAAGGGGCGAGAACATAATACACACAGCTTCCCCAAAGTGGAGGGAATGAGGAATGGAAGAGTTCCTTCTTCCACATGATGCTCAGGGCCGGAGTGGTGAGAGCGCTTAAAAAGAGCAGCGTAAGAAATATGGCCCCCCCTCGGTGTTTTACGTAGATTCCAGCAATTTAGGTGAGCAAAAAAATATACTTACGAATGGACGTTCGCTCTAACGTGTAAATTGCTTTAAATCCACCCTGAAGTAGCGAGCACTCCATTCGAAAGCTTTGGAGGGTGAACTTGAAAGGGTATACGGAGGCATTAAAAAATAGTCATTGTGAACGAAGGAGAAATGTTTTTGCTTTTCCACGTAATTTCTTGAGAATGTTTATTATAAATGTACACGAGAGGCGTGCGAAAGCTGTACGTATACACAACTTGGGTGCACTAGCGGCTGAAAGCGATGATGAAAAAGACAAAGTGTAAATTAAAAAGATACACAGCGCGTTCAGCCTTGGGAAGCTCCAAGCTAGGAAAGCAATTTAATGGAGTCGTAAAACCGCACTCTCGATAATACATCCTCCCGCGGACTTTTTTTTTCTCCAAAAGTGTCTTTTTATGCAACCACTTCCCTCTTAAAATTGCGAAACGCATAAGCTCGGCTTATATCGTCAACAGTTACATACACGCATCCGAAATTCCCTGCGCCCCTATAAAGCATTACCATAAACTTGCCAGCCACGCTCTTGCATCGCGAGCGCGCGCGCACCCACAAATGATAAAATCTCTCGTAAGAGTGAAGGACGCGCTTTCCTGTATGAAAAGCTTTGCGCATCCGTCTCCCCTGGCCTGCGATTTTCTCTCCCCACGCTCGGCTTTGCGGATAAAATCTGCGTGCGAGGTAGTGGCTGCGATGGCGGTTCGACGAGCACCTTGTTTCTTACGTGCCCTTAAAACCGTGCTCGCACGCGGGTAATAAAATGGAAATGATGCGCGCGTGAGCTTATGCGGGACGATAGGCGGATGCACTGGATAAAACTTTTCATTCCGGGCGTTCGTATACCGTGCCTGGTCGTTTTTTCGTGAGTTAAGCGTATGAGTTATTTCGTTGGGTAAGGGATCGAGATTGCCTCTGGGCTCGTGTGACGAAGAGCTTGCTGTTTTCACTAGTGTATGTTTCAGTTACCCAACAGGGTACGAGACAAGTTGGAAGACAATTTATTTCATGCATGGCTGCCGTTGTGCATATTCT